TAAAATTATAGATGCTAAACCCACACATTGTAAAAGACAGACAAACAAGGGCAAATTGTATTTTGAGAACACTAAGTTGTCTTATAGAATTGGAGATGCTAACTCCAAAAGAGTTAAAAACATTTTCTCAATCTGATAGAAGTGCACTATACAAGGGGTCATTTGTATTTTTGAAAAGTTCTGGGTTCTCCTGTAAATTGTAATTAAGCTAAGAACTCATGATAATTTTTTGAAGTTAATTCTTGAAAAAAAAAAAAAATGACACCCAACTAACCATGCTAATATTATTATTCATCAAAATTACCTTCAATTCATCCACATCCACCTTGAGGAAGGTGACATTGGGGAATTTCTTCGCAAGTTCAGTAAAAAGTGGAGCGATGAAACGACACGGTCCACACCAGGAAGCAGTGAAATCCACAACAATCTGAGTTTATCCAAATCAAAATATAAATGAAATAAAATAAACAGATAAGAATGATAAGATTAAAGTTTAGGTACATGGGCCTCTATATCAAATGCAGATGGTAGACTTGTGAAGGTCTGAAATTCCCAGATGAGTAAAATGCAATTTTAGTCCTATATGTTTAACTACCATAACTTTTTCGTCCTCTTCGTATTGCGTTTTTTATTTTCGTCCGGTATGTTTGCAAAAAGGTTACAAAAATGTCATTTTCGCAACAAAGAGGTCCTTTATGTTTTGCAAAAGAAAGTTCCAATTCGTCATTTATGTACGAAAATGACTTTTTTGTAACCTTTCTGCAAACATGCCGGACGAAAATAAAAAAACGCAATTCGAAGACGACAAAAAAGTTAGGATAGTGAAACATATAGGACTAAAAATGCAATTTACTCCTCCCAGATTGAGTATGAACAACACCCTGTTTTATGCAAGAACCATTACCAAAAGTAATGCCTTCACTTCCAATAAAATGAAACAAACTGCAGTTTGTTATAATCTTCTTGGCACTACACTATACCCAGTTAAATATTCTGTTAACCAACTAAACATTAGAGTATTTGCACTGGCAATGCATTATGCTACCTGCTAATTGATCAAAAAACTCGTCAAATCACAAGCATATTTCCTTTAACAGCAAACAGATAGTAACAAATACAAGAAGTTAGCTACTTATGATAGCTTAAAAGAAGGTTACAGTGTGTTTTCTTTCAATACAAAATGTTCACAACAATAAAATAAACATCGAATCTGTCGTTAGGCAGCCCTAAGGCGGCATCCGCAGCCATACATTTTCAACAAATATGTATACTAATTTGAAACCAACATATCATATTCTTAGAAATCACATAAACAAAAATGTGACATATCATAACATTTCGTAAATCATGTTGAAAACCATTCACAAACCAGACTATTTTCAACCAGTGTTACCCGGACTCTTCTATTTAGGAAGAATACCCGTGTCATGTTGTGTCGACACTGGTGTGGGTATGAGTGTCGGGTGTGGCATTTTAGCCTAAAATGTTCAAGATTTCTAAACAATTGACGAATCGGACGCTCATATCTCCACACCCGATACGCCACCCATATCCGAGTCCGGGTAGCATAGTTTTCAACCCATCAAGGTACATTTCACTTCACCCAAATCTAGTTCATGCAGAATAATCTGCCAAGTGTTTGTTTCAAGATGTGAAATCTCATTATTCAAACCAAATGATTAATATCTCAAAAAAAAACACACACACACACACGCATAATTAAATTTACAGATGAACGAACACACACAGACATGTAACAAAACTGTAAACATATAAGAACAGATCTAGAGAATCAATTCGATTAGCAAATAAAACATCAGATCCTCCATTCCCAGTAACAAAAAAAAAATAA